TGATGATGATGATGATGATGATGATGATGATGATGATGATGATGATGATGATGATGATGATGATGATGATGATGATGATGATGATGATGATGATGATGATGATGATGATGATGATGATGATGATGATGATGATGATGATGATGATGATGATGATGATGATGATGATGATGATGATGATGATGATGATGATGATGATGATGATGATGATGATGATGATGATGATGATGATGATGATGATGATGATGATGATGATGATGATGATGATGATGATGATGATGATGATGATGATGATGATGATGATGATGATGATGATGATGATGATGATGATGATGATGATGATGATGATGATGATGATGATGATGATGATGATGATGATGATGATGATGATGATGATGATGATGATGATGATGATGATGATGATGATGATGATGATGATGATGATGATGATGATGATGATGATGATGATGATGATGATGATGATGATGATGATGATGATGATGATGATGATGATGATGATGATGATGATGATGATGATGATGATGATGATGATGATGATGATGATGATGATGATGATGATGATGATGATGATGATGATGATGATGATGATGATGATGATGATGATGATGATGATGATGATGATGATGATGATGATGATGATGATGATGATGATGATGATGATGATGATGATGATGATGATGATGATGATGATGATGATGATGATGATGATGATGATGATGATGATGATGATGATGATGATGATGATGATGATGATGATGATGATGATGATGATGATGATGATGATGATGATGATGATGATGATGATGATGATGATGATGATGATGATGATGATGATGATGATGATGATGATGATGATGATGATGATGATGATGATGATGATGATGATGATGATGATGATGATGATGATGATGATGATGATGATGATGATGATGATGATGATGATGATGATGATGATGATGATGATGATGATGATGATGATGATGATGATGATGATGATGATGATGATGATGATGATGATGATGATGATGATGATGATGATGATGATGATGATGATGATGATGATGATGATGATGATGATGATGATGATGATGATGATGATGATGATGATGATGATGATGATGATGATGATGATGATGATGATGATGATGATGATGATGATGATGATGATGATGATGATGATGATGATGATGATGATGATGATGATGATGATGATGATGATGATGATGATGATGATGATGATGATGATGATGATGATGATGATGATGATGATGATGATGATGATGATGATGATGATGATGATGATGATGATGATGATGATGATGATGATGATGATGATGATGATGATGATGATGATGATGATGATGATGATGATGATGATGATGATGATGATGATGATGATGATGATGATGATGATGATGATGATGATGATGATGATGATGATGATGATGATGATGATGATGATGATGATGATGATGATGATGATGATGATGATGATGATGATGATGATGATGATGATGATGATGATGATGATGATGATGATGATGATGATGATGATGATGATGATGATGATGATGATGATGATGATGATGATGATGATGATGATGATGATGATGATGATGATGATGATGATGATGATGATGATGATGATGATGATGATGATGATGATGATGATGATGATGATGATGATGATGATGATGATGATGATGATGATGATGATGATGATGATGATGATGATGATGATGATGATGATGATGATGATGATGATGATGATGATGATGATGATGATGATGATGATGATGATGATGATGATGATGATGATGATGATGATGATGATGATGATGATGATGATGATGATGATGATGATGATGATGATGATGATGATGATGATGATGATGATGATGATGATGATGATGATGATGATGATGATGATGATGATGATGATGATGATGATGATGATGATGATGATGATGATGATGATGATGATGATGATGATGATGATGATGATGATGATGATGATGATGATGATGATGATGATGATGATGATGATGATGATGATGATGATGATGATGATGATGATGATGATGATGATGATGATGATGATGATGATGATGATGATGATGATGATGATGATGATGATGATGATGATGATGATGATGATGATGATGATGATGATGATGATGATGATGATGATGATGATGATGATGATGATGATGATGATGATGATGATGATGATGATGATGATGATGATGATGATGATGATGATGATGATGATGATGATGATGATGATGATGATGATGATGATGATGATGATGATGATGATGATGATGATGATGATGATGATGATGATGATGATGATGATGATGATGATGATGATGATGATGATGATGATGATGATGATGATGATGATGATGATGATGATGATGATGATGATGATGATGATGATGATGATGATGATGATGATGATGATGATGATGATGATGATGATGATGATGATGATGATGATGATGATGATGATGATGATGATGATGATGATGATGATGATGATGATGATGATGATGATGATGATGATGATGATGATGATGATGATGATGATGATGATGATGATGATGATGATGATGATGATGATGATGATGATGATGATGATGATGATGATGATGATGATGATGATGATGATGATGATGATGATGATGATGATGATGATGATGATGATGATGATGATGATGATGATGATGATGATGATGATGATGATGATGATGATGATGATGATGATGATGATGATGATGATGATGATGATGATGATGATGATGATGATGATGATGATGATGATGATGATGATGATGATGATGATGATGATGATGATGATGATGATGATGATGATGATGATGATGATGATGATGATGATGATGATGATGATGATGATGATGATGATGATGATGATGATGATGATGATGATGATGATGATGATGATGATGATGATGATGATGATGATGATGATGATGATGATGATGATGATGATGATGATGATGATGATGATGATGATGATGATGATGATGATGATGATGATGATGATGATGATGATGATGATGATGATGATGATGATGATGATGATGATGATGATGATGATGATGATGATGATGATGATGATGATGATGATGATGATGATGATGATGATGATGATGATGATGATGATGATGATGATGATGATGATGATGATGATGATGATGATGATGATGATGATGATGATGATGATGATGATGATGATGATGATGATGATGATGATGATGATGATGATGATGATGATGATGATGATGATGATGATGATGATGATGATGATGATGATGATGATGATGATGATGATGATGATGATGATGATGATGATGATGATGATGATGATGATGATGATGATGATGATGATGATGATGATGATGATGATGATGATGATGATGATGATGATGATGATGATGATGATGATGATGATGATGATGATGATGATGATGATGATGATGATGATGATGATGATGATGATGATGATGATGATGATGATGATGATGATGATGATGATGATGATGATGATGATGATGATGATGATGATGATGATGATGATGATGATGATGATGATGATGATGATGATGATGATGATGATGATGATGATGATGATGATGATGATGATGATGATGATGATGATGATGATGATGATGATGATGATGATGATGATGATGATGATGATGATGATGATGATGATGATGATGATGATGATGATGATGATGATGATGATGATGATGATGATGATGATGATGATGATGATGATGATGATGATGATGATGATGATGATGATGATGATGATGATGATGATGATGATGATGATGATGATGATGATGATGATGATGATGATGATGATGATGATGATGATGATGATGATGATGATGATGATGATGATGATGATGATGATGATGATGATGATGATGATGATGATGATGATGATGATGATGATGATGATGATGATGATGATGATGATGATGATGATGATGATGATGATGATGATGATGATGATGATGATGATGATGATGATGATGATGATGATGATGATGATGATGATGATGATGATGATGATGATGATGATGATGATGATGATGATGATGATGATGATGATGATGATGATGATGATGATGATGATGATGATGATGATGATGATGATGATGATGATGATGATGATGATGATGATGATGATGATGATGATGATGATGATGATGATGATGATGATGATGATGATGATGATGATGATGATGATGATGATGATGATGATGATGATGATGATGATGATGATGATGATGATGATGATGATGATGATGATGATGATGATGATGATGATGATGATGATGATGATGATGATGATGATGATGATGATGATGATGATGATGATGATGATGATGATGATGATGATGATGATGATGATGATGATGATGATGATGATGATGATGATGATGATGATGATGATGATGATGATGATGATGATGATGATGATGATGATGATGATGATGATGATGATGATGATGATGATGATGATGATGATGATGATGATGATGATGATGATGATGATGATGATGATGATGATGATGATGATGATGATGATGATGATGATGATGATGATGATGATGATGATGATGATGATGATGATGATGATGATGATGATGATGATGATGATGATGATGATGATGATGATGATGATGATGATGATGATGATGATGATGATGATGATGATGATGATGATGATGATGATGATGATGATGATGATGATGATGATGATGATGATGATGATGATGATGATGATGATGATGATGATGATGATGATGATGATGATGATGATGATGATGATGATGATGATGATGATGATGATGATGATGATGATGATGATGATGATGATGATGATGATGATGATGATGATGATGATGATGATGATGATGATGATGATGATGATGATGATGATGATGATGATGATGATGATGATGATGATGATGATGATGATGATGATGATGATGATGATGATGATGATGATGATGATGATGATGATGATGATGATGATGACAAAAATAATAGCAACAAAAATTCAATTATTTCAGCGTTTATTTGTGGATTACTGATTATTATTGGCGCAATCAGTAGTGTTTCTGTAATACGTCGAATACAACGTAGACATTATCAAAGAATATCTGAATTAAATAGTAGTCGTAATAATAATAATAATAATAGTAATAATAATGAAGCTATTAGTAGTCATTCACGAATAATGGTACAAGAACTATCATCAATAAATGACAATCGTATAGTTGAACCATATCAGTATGAAAAATTAATTAGTCAACCAAATCATGAACTAATCAGAAATAGTTATCATACTATAACTAATGAAGATAATTATTTACCAAATAATAATATATATAATGTCAATTGGGTTAATGCTCCACCTCCACATGGATCTACTACAAAGGATTATTAAAAATTCGATGATAAAATTGTATACTACTACTACTACTACTACTACTACTACTACTACTACTACTACTACTACTACTACTACTACTACTACTACTACTACTACTACTACTACTACTACTACTACTACTACTACTACTACTACTACTACTACTACTACTACTACTACTACTACTACTACTACTACTACTACTACTACTACTACTACTACTACTACTACTACTACTACTACTACTACTACTACTACTACTACTACTACTACTACTACTACTACTACTACTACTACTACTACTACTACTACTACTACTACTACTACTACTACTACTACTACTACTACTACTACTACTACTACTACTACTACTACTACTACTACTACTACTACTACTACTACTACTACTACTACTACTACTACTACTACTACTACTACTACTACTACTACTACTACTACTACTACTACTACTACTACTACTACTACTACTACTACTACTACTACTACTACTACTACTACTACTACTACTACTACTACTACTACTACTACTACTACTACTACTACTACTACTACTACTACTACTACTACTACTACTACTACTACTACTACTACTACTACTACTACTACTACTACTACTACTACTACTACTACTACTACTACTACTACTACTACTACTACTACTACTACTACTACTACTACTACTACTACTACTACTACTACTACTACTACTACTACTACTACTACTACTACTACTACTACTACTACTACTACTACTACTACTACTACTACTACTACTACTACTACTACTACTACTACTACTACTACTACTACTACTACTACTACTACTACTACTACTACTACTACTACTACTACTACTACTACTACTACTACTACTACTACTACTACTACTACTACTACTACTACTACTACTACTACTACTACTACTACTACTACTACTACTACTACTACTACTACTACTACTACTACTACTACTACTACTACTACTACTACTACTACTACTACTACTACTACTACTACTACTACTACTACTACTACTACTACTACTACTACTACTACTACTACTACTACTACTACTACTACTACTACTACTACTACTACTACTACTACTACTACTACTACTACTACTACTACTACTACTACTACTACTACTACTACTACTACTACTACTACTACTACTACTACTACTACTACTACTACTACTACTACTACTACTACTACTACTACTACTACTACTACTACTACTACTACTACTACTACTACTACTACTACTACTACTACTACTACTACTACTACTACTACTACTACTACTACTACTACTACTACTACTACTACTACTACTACTACTACTACTACTACTACTACTACTACTACTACTACTACTACTACTACTACTACTACTACTACTACTACTACTACTACTACTACTGAAAACTGTTCATCAAATAGCTATTATTGTACTTTAACATGATTACTTTTGTTGTTGTTGAATAAAACAAAATTCTTGTATTTATTTACTATTTTTAACAAATCAAGCATCATCATCATCATCTCCATCTTGTTGGTATTTTGTTTGGTATCATATTTATCCCCGGTATCTTCTAATTATTATTATCATTACTATTATTATTTTTATGACGAACACATGTATTGCCCGGTCTAATCAACACATTTTAGATAATTTAATTCTTCAATTATATCATTATTACAATAGATTTTTCTTCTTCAAATTTGTATTTATTCACTGATTTATTAAGATGTTCAAATAATTAGTTTTCAGGAGTCTGTGAATAGTTAAAACACTTTCACCATTCACCATCCAATAGAAGTTGACAGAAAACTCTTTTAAAAAAATCGGTAGTGTACATATCAGGTTGATTTGGATGGTTATCTACTCTGGTTGGGTTGCCCCTTCCAGCCAAACAAGTTACTGAAGCCTAGTAGGCCCTTCTGAAGAGAAATAGGTCATGTCGAAGCATGGCACAACTACCGGGGCTAGAATAGCTGTTTTTGCGACCAGTTGAAGTTTGCCCTGTGAGGAGCGACCCCGTACATTACATGCATCACTTTCGTCAGTTTTTTTTGTCGTTTTTCCATCCAAGAGTAATTGTGCTGCGTTTCTTTGTGGAGTTCGTAATCGATTTGAGGGTGTCGGTGGAGTGGGTGATTAGGCCGATCTCTACCGCCCGGGTTACCGCACACGTTAGTTCATGGATCATCCTTCCCACTATCCGGGAGGCATGACGCGGACGTATGAGTCGGATTTTGCCTCCCATCTACTCTGGTACTAAATTTGATACTACCCCAGAAGTCTCTATGCTTATTGGTCAGATGTAATACTAAAATGACGTACGTTTTTCTATAAACAGACTGATCTTGGAGTAAAGCTTTTATTCTTAATTTGAGCTTTTATTAGTGCTCCAGTCGACGTGTAAAAGTAGTTGGGGTTATAGGAACCGGTTAGGAAGACAGTTTAAGCGTGTCGGTAGCAAGACTTATTAACATGTCTGTCTTTTGTATGAATATTCTGACAAATGGGTACAAGATAGGGATTAGCTGAAGTATATATTGGATATTTTATACTTCAAGTTAATTTCGCGGAATACATAGAAATAAAAACTGTCCGAGATCTTTTCTTGCGAACAACAGTGCTGAAATGTAGAAAACAGGTTAGTAATTGATCAACTATTGAATAGTGATGCATGTCATGTGTATTTATTCCTTTAATGCAGACTGAACTCTCGATCAAATTGCATTATGTTCAGTAGTCTAAGTGCACCACGTGCTCTAAGTTTTGTTGTCAGATAGTTGAAAGTAATCAGCAGAAAACCCTGCACCCATGTTTAGAATCTCACCGAGAATGCCATTTCCTTCAGGAATACAGGGATGCCTTGGTGACATGTTCCAACTAGTAAGAAATCTCGATTCAGTATTTTTTTTTTACTTTCTCCAACTACCTACCAGAATAGACATCAGATTGTACTGTACATTGAAAATGTTCACCTGATTTGTAATTCCAAGAATAATATGTGTTACGTTGTCTGTTTATTGTTTGACAAAAATTTGCTATTAGACGCATTAGAGTATTTTGTTATCGTATAATTGTTTATTATGGTTCGAATTCGAAGGTATTCTCAGTAGTATATGATTGATAATACTACTAACTATGTATATAAATCTTGACATGTATGTTTAACTAATTTCAAAGCTGTGAAATAATAGTTAACCTCTGTTATCAGCACTGAAGCTTTTCTGTTGCTTTAACATGCGTTTGTATGAAAATTTACGGGAATTAAGTTAAAATCTGTCAGTAAAGATTTAATTTTTAGATTAGGTAGAAATAAAATGCTTGTAATTTAGTTCAAGAGGTTTTGTGGACACACGTTGACAACAATTATCTTGGAGGTCTGACTATCCCTAATGGGTTGGTGTCTGACGAAATCTCTGCACGGATTCAAAAAGCTCGTTTGGCTTTTGCAAACTTACGTCACCTATGGCGACGGTGAGATATCCACCTATCAATTAAGGAGGAGTATACTACGCATCAGTTCGTTCTGTTTTACTTTACGGCTGAGAACCGTGGCCATTATGGGTAGAGGATACTCGTAAGTTACGAGTATTTAGACACAGATGTCTTAGAAATATTTCTCGCATCTGCTGGGACCATCGGATGAATAATAGTGGGTCTGGGTCACGTATCACTCATGCCCAAACACCGGTTACCACGACATGCAGTGCTGACTGGTGTTGGAGACGGATGGAAGAAAGTTAGGGGCGGACAAATCAAAACGTGTTATAAGTCCATAAAGTCAATAACATTTGTTAGGTGTTTGCAAAATTTTTTATGTTTATCCACAACCATATTCACAATGATCTCAAAAGGTTCACCATACGCCCTTCTAACTGCTACTACCTTCAGCACTATTTGCAACATAGTAAAATCTTTCCTCAAAAACTCAGGAGTGAATAGTAAGTAATATACAATTTACAAATAGTAAAATTAAACATCGACCAATCCCAAAAGCATGTAACCTCTTTATATAGTAAGTCAAACGGTAAACTTCCCTCTGTCTAAATAAAACATGAGAAAGCCATGAGTGGTCAGAGGGAAAGCTTATACCAAGATAAATAGTCACATATACTACTTTTCATTACGGAATATGAGTAGTAATAATGAAGTCTGCTAGTTAATGTGTGTTATGATAGTCGGAGAAATATACCAATAATTATCGTGTTAAGTCTATGGTGGCCTTGGACCTTAAATGCACATTTCCTATTAGTCGATGTTTATTTCACTTGTTAAATATTGTGTAAATGTTGTTTTCTATTTTATGGTACGATGTGGTTTGTTTGTTTGTTTGTTTGGTATATAAATAGACTATGTCTGAAATACAATGATTCATAACTCAGAGGCTGTGACTTGTGTTCTTGACTCAACTGGCTAGGACAGACAGCGAAGCAGGGCCAATCAGGGCACTAGGTCGTCCACTACGTGTTTGCGTGTCCACTGTAATAATCGTTCGACAAATGCGCTGCTTGTCAAAACCTGCAGTCTCACACGTTACAACAATGTGCATTCTTCTTTATGTCATTCTGCTAATTAGCTATTTGATGTCCAATTATCTGTTCTATTATTTATGTTTATTGCAGTCGATTAACTAGAAATATTTCGGAATTTAGTATCTTTTTAGTGGCCCGTGGATCTGACTCCATTTAGATCATATGAATGTTCGTTATCACCTCTCCTTGCATACAATCATCGACTTAAATCACATTAGTCAATAACGGAATTTAGATAAGTCAATTAGCGAGAATGGCCTTTGAATACACATATTTTGTATGTAAAGTGAATGTAATAGAACAAAGCAAAACGACGCACAGGGGAGATGGCTGGTAAGCCAACTCATTTTTAGCCAGCCGTTACTCAATATTTATAGGTAGACAAAATAAACTACAGACATGTGATGAGACATGGGATATGAAGTGTACACACATATACGCTCACATAAAAACAGTCAAGACTACTGATAAGCGAATAATTAACAAGGTCAAAATATGACTCAAGTAGAATGAATAGACTGGGCTGTCCGAAAGTTAGAATAAAGTATATGGGCTTAACTTAATAACTGACACTACACTTATACCAATTAGATAGTTAATATTAACCATTCCCGAAAGGATGTCACCATTTTTAGCTACGTTTTCTTTAAAATATGCTTAAAGTACTTAACTTAGACATGTCTTTTTTCTAGTATATTTGTGAAGATATATTAGAATACACTCCTAAATTTCATTTGTTATCAAGGCATACCTTAGAAGGAGATCTGCAAAATAGAACTTGATCAGTTTCTTGTTAAGTTCATTAAAATAGAATTACTTAACATAAGTATTATTACACATAAGGCACATTTTTAATCGATCCATTTAGATGCCTATGAAGACATGAGGAAGTGCAAAGATTATTTCATGATGTCAATGAAAAGAACCCTTGACATTTGTTAAATTCATCTGTTAGCAAATTGAAATATATAAAAAACAACAAAACATTCTATACAAAAAGTGGTAGATTATCACTGGCTTTTAGGAACGTTCCTCTAATTGCTGAACACATTAGCTTGTAGCGTGGAGTCGAGTTGAGATTAACTATGAACACTGCTACCAAGAAACACGTGCCAAGTAAATCAGAAGGCGAAGGTTGAACGTAACCAAATAAATCCATAAAATCCCCGAGAAGCCAAATATCAGAAGGCAGTTAATGGACCAAGTTGAGATATATTTGCTGGTGATCTCGTGGTATCGAAAGGATACCGAGATCGTCAATTACAATTCCAGTCTTTACTATTATCCTGTGCATTTATTTTTTTGGATGAGAAATTCTTAGCAGTATGACGTAGAAGTACGATCTTATTGATTATTTTTGCACTAAATTATGAACAGTTATGAATTCTTATCTATGTACACATATGTGTTTGTAAATGTCTGTATATATTTGTCTGACAATCTTATCTCACTAGTGCTAGACACTGTATTTTTGTTTCAGGACTTGTGTGATAACATATACCTAATACATGACTTCCGTCTAACTACTACGTGTGTTTATTCATTCATTATTGGTCCTATCTGTTTGATTATTTAGCTTGATTGAAATAATCCTTGTCCAGTAACACTCTGTTGTGAATTAATTGTTATTACACCGGAAATAAGAGTAGTTGTGTTTAACGTATTTAAGTTCAATTAGTAGTACGAAGTTAGTTTGGATAAGTCGGTAGTACGATGCTCACAGCCAACTATTGAAAACTAATCAGTTGACTTTCTTAACGGAATGACCTTAAGATTAAGTATAATCTGAAGGGATTAATGAAGATTGTCATCATAGTTTAAATCACGAATTTATCTTAACTAGACTACTATGAGAAACCTGAAAACACTAGACGACCGTTTCGTTCTGGTATGAACAAATACAGTCTCTAT